CGTGTTGCTCCCCTCTGTGCCTTTTTGGTAGGCTTACACCAGTAGCTCCTGTCAGCTCTCTCTGGCCACAGTGGACATGTCCCCTGAGCAAGGTCAGCTACACCTACAGACCCCCATGTCCTCTAAGCGCTGTAGAGCAGGACTGTAGGAGGGGACTGGTTCCCTTGTAAAGGGACCGGGACAGATCCCAGCCCCAAAGCCAGTGGGGAGCAGAACAACCCCATGCTGGTCCTCCACAGACAGGCAGCAAATGTGGCCCAGCCCTGGTGCTCCCAAATCCCCCATCCTTCCCCTGCATGCGCACCCGTTGCAGACCAGCAGCAGTCTCAAGGGAGCAGCACGCCACTGGGTTATCAGCGTCCCTGGGCTCCCTGTGTCTCTCAGCCTTACAGAGCAAAGGTTTGTTTAATAAGGCTTTAGGAGCCAGAGATGCAGCAAGATGGTTTAGAAGGAGAGTTACAGAGGAGACAAAAACATAAGCTCTGGGTTGCACTAGGAACAAAACATCACATATTTTTGGACAAGTACCTGAAAAGGCAATGTGGAGATCAGCCCAGGGGTGTCGCAACATAGCTGATGAAGCCCTGACATTTAAGCTTCTCTGGTAACCTCCAGCCTCCCTGATCCTGGGATGCCAGCAGAGCGCTGCTTCCCAGGAGCTTCTCCCTGCATGGGCCGGTGCAGGTATCCCGTGTGTCTCCGTGCAAATAAAGGTGGGTTGAGGTCCCAACTGCTTGTGAGTTACAAGATTCTGCATCCTCACAAAGTTGGGCATAATCTTTCTGCTTGTTGCAGCCAGCAATGTTTGCAGTCTCAGCATGTCTTAAGCTTTTGCCAGCTCTCATGCATCTATTTTAGGCTGTGAGAAAAGGGGCAGCTCTCACTCCCCTCTCTGTTATTTGTCGGTGCTGGTCTTGCTTTGGAAGTTCCCACTTCCCAGCAAGGGCTACAAGCTCTTCAGCAGGTTAATCTAAAAATAATCCCCCCAAATTTAACATCCTCCAGACAGCACTGACATGGGAAACTGGCAGCCCACAGGTAAGGGTTGCGGTGCCTCCAGGCTGGTACACGTCTTCTCCCCTTGCAAGGCTGCTCCTCGTGGGCCAGGCCTTGGGGCACTTCTTGCCAATGCCTTCAGCTCACTCTCTTCTGTGCTGCCCCTTGTCCCTGCTGCCTTGCTGGCCCCACAGTGTGACTGCTCAGGCCTGAGAGACCCCAGCATTGCCCAAACTTGGTCCCATTCAGCTCTGCAAAGCTCTACTGTGGGCTCCCAAGAAGAGCAGGGGCTCCTGCTGGCTGCCTGTGGGCACAGGTCTGTCATACCATGGCCTTCCAGCTCCTCCCTTCCCATCCAGAGGGGGCACTGCTTTAACTGTGTGAAGCAATAAAATGCTTTAAATAAAGTCTTGATGTGACTTCGGGTAACAGCTGGTTTATCTCTGCAAGGGAGATGTTTGGCAGTGAACTCACCAGAGTTTTTTTCCCCTCCCAGCAGCTCCTCTTCACACATCTCTCTGTCACCATCACCTCCATATCCAAACCCCTCTACAGATACCTTATGCTGGGTTTTGTCGTTTACTGGTGCTCTCTGTCCTCTCCAGGCCCTCACAGATCTGTTGGCAGAGTCCCTGCTCTTGTCCTGGGCCCTGCTTCACTTCTTGCCTGCTTAGACTTTTCTCTTGAAGGAGGAGCCCCGGGGCTCTGGTGGGAATGAAAAGGCCCTAGAGACCGGGGGGAGATAGACAGGCTGGGCAGAATAAATTGGTCTCAGTTATGTAGAGATTGGCGGGGAAAAGGAACCTGGAAGTGTTTTGAGAAGAAACCAAAGAACCAAGCACACAGATCATGTTTGGACAGTGGGTTGTCTTACAAAGCAGACCCCCTTGCATCCTACCAGACCTGCCCTCTGAGGGGGCCTTTCGCACGCCCAAGCAAATGGTCTTTGTAAGAAAGCGAGCGTTTGGTTGTTGAACGCTGAGCTGAGCTGTGGGCACGGGCTTTACTTTCCATGTTGTGTTGCTAACAGACTGGGCTGCGCAAAAGAGCTGCCCAGGGGACCTGAGCCAGGGGAGATCCCCCGCCATCAGCGTGTGCAGGGGATGAAGTAACGGCTCAGACAGAAACGGGTGCCCCCTTGGGCATCCTGGCCTGGCTCTGGGACCTTTGCTCTCTGCTCTGGGCTCGGATGCCACCTGGTCACTCCCTGGGAAAGGCTGTGGCCAGTCCCATCACAAGTACTGGCTCCAGCAGGGGCTGAATGCAGTGGCCGTCTGGGCTGGCGCAGCTGCGATGGCACGGCATGGAGACACTTCCTCTAGAAGCGAAACTGCCTTTGTAGAAACATTTCCTGTTGCCATGGGACATGCCCATCGGTCAGCAAGGGGCAGACAAAGATGCAGGTGCCTCCCTCTTCCCAATCGGACTGGTCTTAGCATGGTCTTTCTTAGAGTGTCGCCAGGATTTCATTCCAGCTTTCCTCCCTTGGCAGGTTCCCTGCCACCCCTCCAGAAAGGCAGCTATTTGGACCTGGACTGGACATCCCACAGACGCAGCAAACCAGTTGGCCTGAGCCGTAACTGTTTGAGTGCTCCTGATTCAGCAGATCTCCTCTGCTAATTGGGGTGCTAATTGGGGTGGTCTGGAGGGCCCTGCAGACCTGGCCTGCCAAGAAAAAGCCAGGCCACGAGGCCAGGAACGGGCGCTTCTGGGCTAAGCCAAAGACCAGTAGTTTCCATGCACAAAGCACCTCCAGCTGGGATCTCGACCACGCTGTTGTTTTGCCACACCTTAACACGTGTGCTGCCGTTCCCTGCGCTGTATATTTGAAATAAGCTTGTCAAAGTGCACGAAGTGGTCATGCCCCTGTACTCGGCACTGGTGGGGCCGCACCTCAAATGCTGTGCTCAGTTTTGGGCCCCTCACTCCAGGAAGGACACTGAGATGCTGGAGCGTGTCCAGAGAAGGGCAACGAAGCTGGTGAAGGGTCTGGAGCACAAGGCTGGTGAGGGGCAGCTGAGGGAACTGGGGCTGTTTAGCCTGGAAAAAAGGGAGACTGAGGGGAGACCTTATCTCCCTGTACAACTGCCTGACAGGAGGCTGTAGCGAGGTGGGTGTTGGTCTCTTCTCCCAGGTAACAGGCGATAGGACAAGAGGAAACGGCCTCAAGTTGCACCAGGGGAGGTTTAGGTTGGATATTATGAAAAATGTTTTCACTGAAAGAGTGGTCAAGCGTTGGAACGGACTGCCCAGAGAGGTGGTGGAGTCACCGTCCCTGGAAGTGTTCGAAAAACCATGTAGACGTGGCACTTTGGGACACGTTTTAGCAGGCACGGTGGTGTCGGGCTGATGGTTGGACTCGATGATCTCGGAGGGCTTTCCCAACCTCAACGATTCTA